AAGCATATACCTAAGTAATATGAAAAAGAGAATCAATTTAATTTCCAGCGTATAATAAGTTAAGTGAAGCGACCAAAGCTACAGTCTGAAATCGAGGAATAGAGGAAATAAGAAGGCATGATAAATGCACATAAATAATATAAAAGAGGACCGGCATTCAGCAGGCGATCTACGGCTTATTGAGGGAAAAAGGCATAAAATAGACAATCCAGAACAAAGGATTTGGGAATACATACGAGAGCAGAGTGAAAAAATCCGTGAGGCACCAGAGACACAAAGGGTAAAATTGTTATAAAAATTGTTATGAAAAAAGCGAAGACAAAGGAGAACGAAATACAGAAAAAATAGAGTTATTTGAGAGATGTAAATAAACGAAGATTGTGTTAGGAGAAGAGAGGATGCACAAAGAAGGCATAAAGGAAAGTAAACTAGTCTTGAAGATGAATAAATCTCGACAAAGTTTGGGAGCTTAGTTCGTGGAATTACTAAGGCGATGAACAGAAGTTAGAGGAACAGTATAGTTAAGCCAAAAGAAATAAGTAAGAAACTCCCATTCCTCATGGACAGGTGGATTCATACACAGTAAAGAAGCACTAAGAGAAGCGCTTAAATGGGAAAAACCTACACGATGCTTGCATTCCTCCAGGAGAGAGTCAACGAAGTCTGAGTTAGCCTGAGCCATCCGCGATTTTTGCATGTCAGAGAGTAGACAAGACTGAGTGACAAGACAGCCTCTGTTGTTGTCACTTGGCTCACTGTGGTCAAGAGCGTGCTGCTGGAGACGATGACACCGGCGATGGCGAGATGAGCTTTCTTGTGAAGAATCGGGCGGAGTGGGCTGTAGAAATCAGATGAAAGCGAAGTATAGTGATGAAAAACCTTGACAAACACAGACGTATGCATACCCAAAAATGGTGAATGAGCACACATATACACAAACATAAATTGATGCAAAAATATGCACGAATTCGAGGTGTTCAAAATTCCAACCCCAATGCATTTCGAAGTCAAGCTCTCCTCGAGACAGTCCTCGATTTCTGCCACCTTGACGAACCAAAATTAGCTATAATCTAGCCCAAGTAATTATATAGATTTATTGCTATATCTGGCTCAAGATCCATTCTGGATGCTAGGCTTAGTTTTTAT